TATATATATATATATATATATATATATATATATATATATATATATATATATATATATATATATATATATATATATATATATATATATATATATATATATATATATATATATATATATATATATATATATTAGTACATTTTTGTTTTCATAGAATTTAAAATACTAAACTTTTGCTCTCAAAATAATATTGAAGATTTATAAAAAACTTAATTGCTTGTTGATAGCTTATGTTTAAGATATGTAAACACACATGGTTACATATTGACTAAATAAATTCAACCTTTAATCAGCATAAGTTTTTTTTTAACCAGATAAAAGCAATATGAATATAAGAAGCAATTTTTAAAGGCTCAAAACTAGACTTTTAAAACATTTGTATTTTTCTTAAAAAGTATGCCAGTGACTAGCTAACCAAACCAGCAAGACTCAATTTATTTTAAAAGGCCCATGCTAGTTTACGAAACTAAGCAACTAAGACCAACACAAAACAAGCACTAACTAGCAAGCCTAGTTGATCTCATCTAGTCTTGTCAGCAGGGTGTTCAATCATCCTCGAGGCTTGTCTACAGAATTCATCGCTACAATTGAGTCAATAACTGGGTAATGAGTCAGTAGAGCAAAGGTTAGACACATACCTGTTTGTACAGGCAGAACACGTAGACCGTCAAACTCCAGCATGGTGAATGTCGGGTCCAGGGTTATTCCATACTCCGTCACACTCAGGTCAAGAGACGACCCAGAGATCTTCATGATGAAGTCAAGATTCGGCCTGTATCTCAGAATCAACAGCACACCATGAAAAAAGCTAACCAGCAACTTACTCAGCGTCCATCAAAAACTCGTAAACACTCCAGCATGTCAGTGACCTCTCGGATCTGTTAGTCTTTCCTTTCCAATATATGGAGTTCGAATGCTGGAATCACCTTGATGTCTTTAAGAAGTTGTTGTCGAAAGTCGCTTGGAGTTGAACCGGAGGTATTTGATACGGTAATTAGTGCCCAAGACTCTTCAGAAGCAGACTGATTGAGAGACTGAGATTTGGCCAAATGTCTATGTGTTTGCTGTGCTCTTATCAGTGTAGAGGGAACCATAAAGGGGAGGGATCTGGATCAGGTAAACATGAGTCACTTTTCAATGCGAAATAACATCAGGAGTATATTTATTGCTCGGTAACAGCAAGATAGCAAAGTGTTGTTGGTTGCTTTATGTTGGTTTTGAAAACGTTCATTGAGAAGCACTCGTGAGGACTACGTGAGATTCGCGTGGTTGATCTGGATGTGGTGTTGATTTGATTTGAAGACTGTATCACATTGTTTTCGTCTTCATTATAGAGGATTAGCTAGTAGCTTTTATTTTTTAAACTTTGCCCTTTTGCTGTATTTGCTATCAGGTCAACGGTGCTATTGATCAAAGGCAGCATGATAACAAGCTATTGCGTTACATTCCTTCTCATCTTCTGCATTCAGATTTGATCATGTGATTCAATAAAATCAAGTCTTTCGCCAGAGAATTGCATCAACACACAATAGTCAAGAATCCTGTCCCACCAAAAAAGCTTTTGGATGCTAAAAAGTGTAGTAGTCAGTAAACTTTGGTTCATGATAATCTCTCCAGTATAGTACTGGAGGTTTTGGAGTTTACCCTGACACCTGTTGGTGTTTAATGGTTGCTGCCAGAGCTGAGCTTTCACCACGTGGGTATGTGCTGGTGTGGTTAATGGTCTATTCCTCTAGGGCTGCACCTGATAATTAAGGAAAAGCCGAACCATTTCAGGGAGCTCTCGAGAACAATCTGACCTCGTACCCCCTTACGTGCGCATTGACCAGGCTGGAGCCTTGGGTTCTGTAATCTCCAAGCTCAGGGTTCTCTCCTAGGACAGCATGCCAAACCTGCCAACATCATTGAGCAATATCTAAGTGTGAACTTTTGAAACAGAATTTCTACAATGTAAACTCGCTAAGTTTTTTGGTCAATTGAACTTTTAAACATGTTTACCGGTTGACATTCTTCTGATCCCTTCATTCTGTGGTTAGTTGTTTTGGAAGATATAAACAGATATTTCAATAAAATGTTAACATACTTTCTCTGCGAAACGCTGGACATGCTCCACCTAAAAAAGAAACTCAAAATAATAAACTCTTCTGGA